GTGGAGTCGGAAAATATTTATAGTAAAAATTCTATAGGGGTGGGGGTAGTTTTGACCCTTCCCGTATTTTTTCTTGACTTTTGTGAAAGTCAAATGTTAGAGCACGTAGAAAAACAGAGACACCTAAAATCTCATTCCAATCAGAATAACGGTTTTTAAAATATCCGAAAAAATGTGATGATGCCCTCTAACGAACAAACGAAGCACTTTTGTATAGAAGTAAATTGTGTCCAATGAACTAATTTTGATTCCAAAAATCCGTAGTAGTTCTATGTCGACGGAATATTGGGACACCCCGTATTTGAGGCGTCAAGTTGCAAAACCTGTCTTATCCCACAAACGGTGTTTCGAGATAATAAGCAAAAACTGTTTTAGCAAATGTTTGAAGCGTTAATTTATAAAAAAAAACGTGTCCATTGAGTGGAATAATTGTTTTGTATCTCGTTTTCCCAGGAAAAAATAGCTAAAAATTAATACAACAAAACAAAAAAAACACAAAAATAATTCGGATAAGGCGGGTTTTTGTTGCAGTATGTTGCATATTGGCTATGAAATGATAAGAACGCTGTCATTTTATATGTAAATTTTTATGGGAAATGTCAGCGATCGTCATTTCCTAGCCAACTGGATGCCGTTTTTTTTTCGATCATACGGTATTTGCATCCTAACTTGATTTATTAAATATACTATTTTATTAAAATTAATTAAGGATTTGAAAAAACGTCAGTAGTAATAAACTATTATAAAAACGAAAAAACGTCAGTAGTAATAAACTATTATACTTGTGTAAAAAGCTTATGAAAAAATGCAGAATTTGTAAAAATAATAATAAAAAGCAAATATAAGTGGATAAATGTTGATCCTCACTATACCATCCATATCAGCTCCTTTCCGTCATGTAAATGAATAGGATAATGCACACTATCCGTTCCGTGTCCCTTCCGTTCCATATGCTTTCCTTCCATACATTTTTTTGGAGGATGGACTGAAGCGTATCGGAAACAGCGTGGTCATGTTCTTACCTTTGTACCAGCTCTGTTAAAATTTTGCTGATATCTATTTATTCTTTCACCTCTTAATTAAACCTATTACCTTTTTCAAAGATACAATTTTTTAAAATAAAACTTTCGTACTAATGATATAAATCGTACAATAAAAAGTATGGAACGGATATGGAATGGAAATGGAAGGTATGGTGAGAATCAACCTAAAAACGGATTTTGCTGCAGTAACGTAATTTGCAATGAATTTTATATAGGAATAGACGACTTTTACTGCAGTTTGCGATTATATTTATGTAGATTTCAGGGTCCCACTATTAATATAAACTAATCGAAAAAAGTTAAGGATATTGTGTTTTCGCCAAGAAAATTTTTCAGAAAAAATGTGTTATAGCTATTAAAACCTATGTCGTTTGTGTTTAAAAAAATACTGTTTGTAAACATAAAAAATTGTACCCAAACAAATAAAAAACATTATCATCAAAAATGTACATTTAATTTTTGTTTAGAATAGAACTTGTTTGCGTGTTGATAAGCGGCAGTTTGCTGTGGTTATTCTGTCATCGATAATATGAACAGACGTCATTTAACAATAGAGGAAGCAAATCAAGCCATTGGGTTGGCTTGGCGATGCGCGACAGATGGATGGGGCTGATCGATTTAAAGTTACCTAAAGTGTAATTTCTACACTTAAAAACCGATTTAATGAGACTGGATATGTCATGGAGAAGCATAGGGAGGGTAGACCAAGGTGGACAAATGCTAGGGAGGACCGAAGTTTACTGAGAGGAGCTAGGATGGATCCTGCAAGAAACTGCACGTTGCTCAGCCAGGACCTTTTCGATGCCTGCATAGTACGTATTATCCCTCGGACGGTCTTAAATCGATTAAAAAAGCAGGTTTACATTGCTATAGGCCTATCAGACGCCCTCCGTTGACCGCGAGAGTCAGGTTGAGGTCATAAAGCTCAACTTTTGCTCTGGTGTAATGAAAGAGTTAACTGGAATGATGAGTGGCATACTGTAATGTTCAGCGATGAAAGCCGCTTTTGTCTTCGTACTGACAGACGTACAGTTCGTGTGTGGAGACCAAGAAATACAAGACTTAACGACCGATATGTTCAAGTGCATCCCTTTGGAGTTGGAGGTGTAATGGTCTGGGGTGGAATTTTCTATGGAGGTCGAAGGGATTTGTATGTCTGCAGTCTCATTAAATCGGTACAATGACAGGTGAAATTTATGCTGACGACATCATAACTGGACATCATAATTGCCCATGAACTTCCTGTTCAGCACGTAAGGTCACTGAGGCGAGTTCTTCTACATTTATGGGATACCTTCGATCAAAATACCTGGGATCATTTAATTTTAAGTATGCCTCGCCCAGTTGAAGCAGTAATGGCCAATAGAGGTGGAATTACTCGCTATTAATAGTTTTTTTTTCTTTTTGGATATTCTCATTATTAGAGAAAAATTGTCTGTAAGAATTAATTAATTTTGTTTCTTCATTAATAACAAATGTGCGTTTCAGAGAGCTGGCAGTAAATGTACGTTAGGTATACAATTTTTTTCGAAAACTTTTTTTTCACAGAAAATTTACAATATACTTAACTTTTTTCGATTAATTTATGTCATTAGGCCGTTTTTTTTATAAACATGAATGAGGCGGGTTTTGCAACATAACGCCTCATTTTAAAAAAGTGTATAGGTTAAAAGTCGTAGAGAAGGTGACACATAGAATCGAACATAACAAAGAGAATTTAACTTGCCACAAAAATGTATGCGCTTCGTGTTTTTCGAAAACTAGAATCTAATTTATGCTACCAAGCGGCGCGCCCGGGGAACAACTGCAGTCGACGCTGTTATTTTATTTGGAAATTTTGATCTGATTTAGGATAAAACGTGTCAACAAAGAAATTTAGTCAATTTGGAGCGGCGCGGCGGCAGCGAGTTGATCGAGTCAAATAGTTTCGCAGAAGTTAATTCAGCAGATTCGAGTTATCCGGGAACGTGTCTAACTGTTGCCGGAGTTTGTGTATTTATTTTGTTCGAAAGTGTTAAACCGAAATCAACCGACAGATTGTTTTGGTGCGGATTGTTTCTTTTTGTTTCGACAGTGTTTAGTGGCAGATCGTGATTGCTATTCGAACAAAAAACTTTAGCGAGTATGTCTGGGGATCGCAATAAAACAGCAAATTAGTATGATAAATTAATAAAAAGATGATTTAAATATTCAATAATTTGCAACGTTCATTAACAGTCCTACAATTCTTACCTGATAAATTTTTATTCACGTGATTAAGATTGACCAGCACAGCGTTGTCCACTTTTATATATTTTCTTTTAATCAAAATATTTTAGGAAATAAAAATAAATTAATTTTAAATATATAAACAGTTAGTATTTACACCAATAAAATTCGCTTTCTTAACAGTGCTTAAAGGATATAAAGAGCCATTACTACCGCTTTCGCGTTCAAAATATGTATTCTAATAAAGTTGCGTTGAGTTTTTTACGGCTATTAAACTATCTTGTACCGCTTCGCACTAAAAAAGGTTCTAAAAAGAACAATGTTCGACTGCAAGGTCTGCTAGTAAACATTTTCAAGCTTACTTCAAGTGTCACAATACTATTTATTTAAACCTATTATTTAAAAAAAGTGTCAAAACGAATGACAATGTCAGGAAATAAATAAATAAATGCGGTAACTTGACATTTTTTATAGCAGAGCTACCACCTGAATTCCCAGCAGGAAATATAAATTCCAGTTAGTCAGCACGGCGCCGAAAAAATTTGCATTTTTTAATTCTTCGTCTTACTAACAGCGCATTCAGATGGAGCGGACGGTTCGCGACGGACCGTCCGTCGTGTTTTTTTTTAAGATAGCCGTCGGACGAACTCCGTCGCACGGAGCATACGCGCCCATGTGAATTTGTTCGTATAAACTCATGGTACTTCCTCGAAGTCGCGGACGCTCCGCTCAATCTGAAAGCGCTGTGAGTAACAATATACAGCGTTTTTTATTAAAAAAAGCGAAGAAAAACTAGTATTTATATTTTTATATTTTACAAAGTTTGGCGTAGAATTTTGAACACCCTGTAGGGTTTAAGATGAAGATATTTACAACGAAGTTAAGTGAGACCAGCTATAGTAAATACCCAGTATACTTTTGTATATTTATATATATTTTTAATTTTGTAATATTTTTTTTTAAAAACGACTCAATAAAATATATATTTTCTTTTATTTACTAATGTCTCTGAAACTACCAAAATATATTTAATAATATCTTTGGATTATGTAAAATGATTAGAAAGGAAGTCAAACATGCAATAATGTACAGGGTGTTCTATTAAAAAAAATCATCCCGATCCTGTTTTGAGCCATCCTGAAATACATTCTAATACAAATTTTAGGTATGCTAATACAAATTTTAGGTATGCACTTAAACAAAATTCCTAACTTTTTTATTATAAGAGCTACAGATGCCCGCAACACAAGGATATATAGAAGAAGGATATTCAACTCCCTATAGCGGGCTATGTAGGAAAATATGCCGTATTTTGTCGAGGAAGACGATTACGTCACGACCAATGAGCGTCGAGTATTTGAAATTGAAAACATATAAATTGACGGAAACCTATGTTTTTTGACTCATTTCACTGACAGACGTGATGAGATTATTATTGTAATTTATAGATCCAAACGTTTTTTGAAAAAATAATGTATTTTAAAGTTATTTCCTAGAGTTTGGTTTGGCCTTCTATATTTTGGTATTTGTCTACTAATAAATAATATCTTATTTTGTATTTCGATGTATGGAAATCCGCAAGTTTTGTATCTGAAGCCGCAAAGAAATTTCGCTCTATAGTGAGAAAAATGTTATTATATCTTTTTAGACGTGTAGAATTACAAAATTTCTTATTTCAGATGTTCTAAATGTGAGTGCATGTCAAAAATTTAAATATATACTTGAAATATTTCATGTTATATGCTTTGACATTTTTTGGAAGTAAACAAATATTGAAGAAAGTGTTGTGCCTTCACAGAATTTAAATTGGCATTAGGAATAGATTTCCTTGATTTAGTAATGATATTGCTCATAGAAATTGATAATGTGAAGAATAACAATACAGGAACATAGAATAACAAGAAAGAAATTCTAGCAACAAGTTAGGTTATGAGATAAATTTTATTTATATAGTTTGTTTAAAGAGTTTAGTTTGAAAAAAAGGTAAAACAATTATTATTGTCCAGGTCATATTTGATAACTGTTGTTAATTGATAACATATTACAGGGACACAGTAAAAAGACAAAACATTTAGAAAGAGAAATGTTTGCAATGGATATTAATAAATTCTAGCCAATTTGTACGATGTACAATGCAGGCAATATTTCTGCCTCCTAACGCACTATTCGCGTAAAAGAAGATGTGGGTATTGTATTTATACCTAGGTAGTTAATGATACATGGAATATATTTCTATATTATTGCAATAACGATGTCTTTATGTTGTATTTTTTTTAGAACAGATTTATTATTAGTTGGCTAGTGTGTTAGTAGGATAGCCATTGGTAGTTATAAAGTATGAAGTCGTCAGGTATTAATAATAGGAATTGATCAAAGCTTATACATTTATTGTGATATTTATATTGTGAATTTAAGTAGTTAGAGTTTTGGTTGTTTAATAAACGAATTAATGTGCTTATTGTGTATCTAATTAAAAGAACAATGAAAAGTTGAATACCATAGGGGTACGTATGTTATACAAAGAATTTGCATCAACATTTTTTTGGTTATATACTTGTACTGATATTTGTTTCTTGAACTAAAGAATTATACAGTACCTACTACACAATATAATAATCTGCAGCTACATAGGTAGGTAGCTGTTGGTAATTAAATTTTTTATCTAATATAATATCTAACATCAGAAATATTGTTAATTATCAACTATAAACAACTAAGAACTAGAATTATCAACTATAAACACAATATAATATACTGTATCTTAAGCAATATGTAATTATTTAACAATTATTTTTTTTGGGAAATAAAAACTGGTACTAAATTCTTTTTGACTATTTAATTTCTAAGTCACAAATAATGGTGGACAAATAGCAAGAAAATTATACAAGTAAAACATAATTTTAACTTATTTCTCTAATGGAATTTTGGTATTGATCTACTTAGTAGGATATGCAGTTTATCATATTTTTGAATATTTATATTCAATATTGTTCAGGAACAGCCCAATTACTCTGAAAAAAAAATATATGGTCAAATTCTTTGAAAAGAAACTTTTAAAATCAGTAATGATAAAAAAATATATAATTGTTGTATAGCAGAACCAGGGGACACAGAATTAGGGGAATTAACAATAGATTATTAAAAACTGCCTTCTCTTAAAAAAGTAGTATTATATGCACTTAGAAAGACTATAAAGGATATAAGTACACATAGAAAGAAAGTAAGTATCTATACTACTGATATATATATTATATATATATATATATATATATATATATATATATATATATATATATATATATAACTATATATGAATACGATACCTACAGTATACAATATTACTAGTATAAAAATAACAGCACAGTCGGCACACTTTAAAATAAAAAGCAGCATAATATTCAGGTATGTATCTAAGTAAAATTTTCTCAAAAATATTAGAATATGAAATAAATTGCAACTAAATTTTAATTAATAAACATAAACAAATAAAATTGTCAGTGTTATTAAAACTTTATGCAAATATATGTTACCTTAATACTTTGTCTTTAATCCTACTCTTCTGACATGGCTTTTCAAACTAATATTTATGAACTTTTGTTTCCATATTAATTTCAATACATTTGAATAAAACTGGAAAAATAATCAATATTGGCACTTGAAATTTTAATTTCTTATGTCCTTAAATTATTTATATCCTGTTATACATAATACTTACATAAATATTCAATTTAAAAATAGATCAGCACTTGAAAGAGTGAATATAAAATAGTATATTATCAATTTCTATGAGCAATATCATTACTAAATCAAGGAAATCTATTCCTAATGCCAATTTAAATTCTGTGAAGGCACAACACTTTCTTCAATATTTGTTTACTTCAAAGGGCAAAGGGTATAACTTGAAATATTTCAAGTATATATATTTTAATTTTGACATTAAGCACTCACATTTAGAACATCTGAAATAAGAAATTTTGTTATTCTACGCGTCTAAAAAAAGATATAACATTTTTCTCACTATAGAGCAGAAATTTCTTTGCGGCTTCAGATACAAACTTGCGGATTTCCATACATCGAAATACAAAATAAGATATTATTTATTAGTAGACAAATACCAGAATATAGAAGGCCAAACCAAACCTCTAGGAAATAACTTTAAAATAAATTATTTATTCAAAAAACGTTTGGATTTTGGATCTATAAATTACAATAACAATCTCATCACATTTGTCAGTGAAATGAGTCAAAAAACATAGGTTACCGTCAATTTATATGTTTTCAATTTCAAATACTCGACGCCCATTGGTCGTGACGAAATCGTCTTCCTCGACAAAATACGGCACGTTTTTTTTGGGCCAGTCGAATATCCTTATTCTATATATCCTTGCCGCAACACTATTACCGGACCCTGTATAAAAATGAACAAATGTTTTTATGTGGTATATAATGTGGTATGGATTTTAGTTCTGACACACCCTGTACATTTCAAAATAATTTTAAATTATGCACATTGCTTTGCCATATACCGGGTGCGTCTCAAAAGTGGCTCACCCCTATAACTTTGTTAATTTTTCAGTTAAAAAAACGAGATTTGGTATGTTAGTATATGACATGAATTAGGATTGATTGACGTATTCAATTGTGTTCGCGCACTTCCTGTTTCACCGGAAATGACTGCAACTTTTGATTTTTCAATGGCACCCTCGGTATTTTTTTACTTTATTCCGAAGAAAATAACACTCTGAATAGAATGACATATCATACGTCAGCTTTTGACATTTTCGCATATGGTTTATTTGAAATGATAACTTGCGGTTCGTAACAAAAATTTGACTCGAAATACCAAGTGTGTGGTATCAAATTATTTGTAAAAAAATGCTTTTTCCAAATGTGCTAATGAGCCACCCTCGTTCCATTTGAAAAAATTGAGATATGATTAAAAATACGATTTGAACATTTTCTAACTTTGTACTGGTCCAAGACAATAAAAACATTAGATGATCAAATCTATTTTTCCAAGGCTTCTTGATTAAGAATTAGTGTTTTTAACATAGCCATGGCACTCTAGATTGGATTTTAAAATACAATTTTTTATTAAGCGAGAATGTCAAAAGTTGATATATGATAGGCCATTCTATTCAGAATGTTATTTTCTATCGAATAAAGTAAAAAAATACCGAGGGTGCCATTTAAAAATCAAAAGTTGTAGTAATTTCCGTTGAAACAGGAAGTGACCAAGAACAATTGAATACGTCAATGAATCCTAATTTATGTCATATACAAAATCATGTTTTTTTATCTGAAGAAATAAAAAAGTTATAGGGGTGAGCCACTTTTGAGACGCTCCCGGTATACCCATAATATATTTTGTTTCTACATCTTTCCGTTTTCACACGCACCAAGGCGAATGCCCGCATTCATAATGCACCAAGGCGAATGCCGGCAGCACTATTACCGGACCCTGTATAAAAATGAACAATTTTTTTTATTTTTCAATTATTGTTTTACTCACGCAACAGCTTTCCATTTTACATTGAAAAGTTTTCGAAACTAACTTACACATTTAAAATTTGGTGTCAAAATGCGTTTTTGGGTTTTATTTTACATAATTGCAAATTTACAGAGTTTTATTCCTAGTTTTATTCATACTACAAGCGAAGTTAGAGTCAAATCGAGTTTTGAATTAGGAAAAAGAGTAATATATCTAGTAAAAGTTCTCGAACTATGCCGTTATTGCACATTCCTGGTAAATGAAAACGAAAATCTGCTTTTATTAAACTTTTAAGCCCGTTTCAGATGGGACGTTATGCCGTTGACGATTTTTAAACTGAGATTCTTCATTCCAAGCGAATTTCTCATGTAATTCGCTTCCGGAATTATACTCTTTTGAGAATATTGAAAATAAATGCTTGAGAAGTTTCTGGAAATTTTTAGTTCTATAGTGAACTTTTATTCAGAGCTTAAAATGATTTCTATTTTTGGTAATTTCATAAAACTTTTTCTCTACCCTCTGTTTCAAATTCAACTCTCACCCAGAGCTACAAGCTCACAGAAAACTTTCCATTTGCGCTACACCGCTCGGGCAGTGCCGGTTTTACAAGGGTGCTATTTGGTGCTATAGCACCGGGCGGCAAATCTTAGGAGGGAGGTGTCACGTTGACAGAACTGTGGTAATGTGAATTATGTTAGTATGTATTTACTTAATTTTTCTTCGAAATAATAAAATATATTTAAAATATGGCGCCAAATTCTTAACCAATAAAATTTGCCTTAATCCTAGATCCTTTAGCACTTCTCATGAGTGAGTGTCATGCCTTCTTTTAAAACACTTCTGGCTTCTGGCTAAGTCATAAACGTATAATAAAAATTTAGACTTTTTTTGACTTTTAGACACACATGTTGTGTTTACGACGGATTCGTTGGTACTCGCGATGAGCGGATCCCCAGTAACTTGGAACTAAAACCTACCAATTTTTTAAAAAATCCGATAAGTAACTCGCTAGATATGTACAGGGTGTTCGAACGATAGAATAAAGTAAGTTTTCTCCGAGAATATTTTTTTAAGAAGCTTGTACAGAGATAGGCTCATTGGCGTATCTACAGGCGTGCCCGGAGGTGCCCCCCCCCAGGTACTGCTGGGCACCCCCAGAGAAGTCCTGAATTATGACTCTTGGCTACGTATTAATTTTTATTTGCTTGTGATGCAGTAAAAATGTCGTTTTTTAGTTTTGTTTAGTTAATATTATTTTTTTGTGTTTAAAAAATGTGTTAATTTTTATGTTTTTAGAAAATTTGTAGGTAATTTAAGTAATCTACAGGAACACGGTTTGATAACCAAGTCTATGAAATTTATTGATAGAGAAATTCATGTAAACGTTTTATTAAAAAATGTGTTTTTTAAAAATATTTTTCATTCTTAAAAAAAAAACAAAAGCCCTAGGTCCCCCCCTGGGCTCAACCCCAGGCCCACCCCAGAATAAATTGCTAGTTACGCTAATGGATAGGCTAAACATATTCATTTAAAAATCAGGTACTACTAGTTTAAAAAAAATGCTCAAACACGTAACACGTCCATTATAATTTTTTCTGGCGCATTTTTTGCCCTAAAAAGAAAATATTCAGGGGGCTTCAAAAAGTAGATTTGACAAGAAATTTATATATTTTTTAATGGGTCACCCTAGTGAATATTGTAATCTAAAATGAAATATCTTTCTTTTCTGATTTCAAGAATACCATACAAGTTGATATTTGGTTCAGCCATTTTAGCGCAATTTTAAGTTAAATAATAAAATACCCTAAAAATACGAAATATTAATGAGATAGTCAACATTGCAACTTAACTTAAAAAAAAGGAATAAGGTTATTGACTTAATATTACTTAATTATTCCCTTAATTTTTAAGATAATTTGCTATATAACTTCCGCATTAATATTATAATATTTCGTATTTTACGGTAT